ATTTTACTATTTAAATGAATAGGACATTAAGAAAATGTTTTAGATTGCAAAGACATCATTATTTATATTAAAACTCTATAAGATTTTTTATCATGTGCTTGATTGATTTAATACCAACTCATAGATAACAAACAGCATTAGTTAGTTGAGTACGCCAAGATTTTGTTTAATCTCTTGTGAGCTCATAATAAAATTTACCGCAATGCGCGCATGAGCTGATGACCAACAAGAGGATGATAGTAAACGACGCGTCGTAGAACAGTCAAGTAACAGCAACAGCAATAGCAACAACACCAACAGCAGCAGCAGTGGCGGCGGCAGCAGCAGAAGTAGCTAAGACAACAACCTCTGCAGATGAACAACTTTGAAGAAATATGGTATTTGTTAATGGCATTTGTGGACATCAAGTAGTCGACAAACAGAAGTGAAACGACAAAAAATGGCATAAATTGCAAAATTCGAATTACACAAACAACAACATGCCGAAATTCGTATGGAAAATAAAAAGAGAACCGTCAAGACCATCGCGGTCGCTGCACAATAGTATAAACAGCAGCAACAACTTCAACAACAACAACAACACCTGTTTTAGTAGCACTTGAATGTCGACGGTTCGGCGACCGTCGCGTCGCGGTTGAAACCGCGAAAAGTGAATCTGAAGTAGCCGCCGCGCTGTTTGTTGCCGCTGCAACAGCTACTGCAGGGGGCGAAGGGAAGCTGTATACAATATTACTATAATAGAGCCACAGCCGGCAGTCTTTGTCAGTTTCTTGCTTCAGCTCTTGCTGTGTTGTTAGTATACTCTAACAGCGGGTATCACGAAAAAGCATAAGATCAAAATATAAAGCGGCAAAATTCATACTACTGCCGATATTTATATCATTTTTTTTAACTTATCAATCTTATGCAGTTGCTGAAGTATTCAATAGGATTTGACAGTTCTTAGCTGTTGCCAAGGAACTTTCATTTAATTGCTGCAGTATAGGAAGTGATTGGCTTAAATAGCTGTAATAGCTGTCGTAAGATTGATCGGTCGCAATTAAACCTCTCATTCCTGCTCACTAGCAGACCTTATATATCTTTTACATGCATTTAATATTACTAATACATTAAAATTCTTATGAATGTTGAGCTACAATTAGACAAGTTAATAGGATTTAATAATCAGGAAACAGCATTTTCTGAAGAAGCTGACGGCCATGAATCAATATGGGAAATGTAAAATAGTGTGTTTGTGTTTTCATTTATAATTTAGGATATTCCATACACAATATACAATACATTACATACCATATTTTATTTTAATATTAAAAAAAAATATCATTTAAAATTTACTAGAGCTTCCTCTCTTCAGCTCTAACAGACTTCATTCTTCAAGCAACTCCCAGATTGCAGTGTATATAAATTTCGCTGTACAAATTATGCGTTTTATTGCGTTTGTTTTTGTTTTTCTTATTTGTTTTACAGCATTTGTCGCCGGTTGCGCAATGAAATTCCTGCGCTTTGAATACTCTCGACCGCAGCCTCAGACTGTCTTTAGAATTCTCGTTTATTACTACGTGACTCAAGATCTTAATACACAGCTCTTACAAAAGAGTCTTTTGTGAAATAGGTGTCAATAGAATGCCACTTGGCGGCTAACAAAGAGCTGCGCCTTTTAACCAAAATTAAGGCCAGCAGTCCATGCGGCTCTCAGGCTGCTATCAAAATTACCATAATTAAGTTCAGAATTGGGCATGTAAGGGCTCACCCTATATAATATATAGACTATTTTTCAATGTATGAGTACGCTGTCCTTCGAGTGCATAGCTAAGCTGCAGGTCGCTAGTGCAATAGAAAATGTAAATATGTATATATGTATATATATATATTGAGATATGCATATTTATATATATCATGTACTCGATACCTTGGGAACTCAAACACTTGACCGACAGCCGGCACTGCCACTTGCTATCAATTAAAGTAAATTGTATTAAGATTGTCGTTGGCTTTTACACATTTTTTATTACTTGAATATCTAATGGAAGTAATTATATGCCTGACAAATGCCAAGACGTTCCCTATAGAATATTAGTTGAAAGAATTTATGATTTTCTAAGACTTCAACTCTTCAGATGATTGGTAAAATATGTAAATAAGGTATTTCTATTCACTTATATGTTTATATATATGAATATGCATGCATTCAGCTCTTAGCATAACATGATTTGCTGATAAAGATACAGTTTTGCATGCGCCAACAAAAAGTAATAAAGATATTTAGAAAGGCGTGATTAACAGTAAGTTAGCACAAAACTAAGTGCACATATAACTACTTAGCTTTGCGAATAGTGAGGCCAAAAATATAAGCTGATATCTGGTTAGAAGCATATATACTGCTCTTTCAGATATGATTCATAACTTTTTGGCTTTAAAACAGTAAAAAAAAAAAAAAATGAAAAATTTTAAAATACGAGTCTCTGATTAGGATTATAATTATTTTAGGTAAAATATACATGTTTGTATTTCGGGGTATGTTTCATAAAAAGATAAGATTTTACTCTAGACGTGTCTAAGAGTTCTGAATTTCTAGCTTATAACGACAACTAATGGAATGAATGGTTTACTTGTAAATAGATTATATCTGATATTTTAATTTCAAATTTTGTTCAATTTTAACATTCTGTAAAAAAGTAATGAAATATTTGGGAAACATTAAAATTTGGAAAATATTGAAATATTTCAAATATTGAAACTTTTGAAATATTGAAGAATATAAAAATAATAAAGTTTCCTTTCATAAAATGTTAGAATATTTCACGGAAAGACAGCTAACTTCTTAGAAAATTTAGCATTTAGATTATAAGTTTTAAAAATCGAAAAAAATTTCTAAAATTAGAAAGTGTTTTGCTACAAAATATACCACTCATAAAATTATAGCTACTACTCTTATGTTGACCTTCCTTTATAATGAGATAAGATTGGACTGGATTGGAAAAATTTAAAAGCTTTATAAATTGGCTTTTAGATTATGAATTTAAAGATTTAGAAATTCGAATGAAAAATGTTAAACATTTGTAAAACATGGAACATTTTCTGCTACTAAAATATATATTCTTAAAATGATACAAATTCAAGCAATAGTGATTTAGTTTATTTTCGAATTACCTTATCTACGATCTATTTGGGAAACTCCACATGATTCAGTATATAGGTTTTGGCCATTTCTATTTGAAATCAAATGTGGCAAAGGTAAACACAATCTTTTCAGCTTGCTTCTATTTGTTTAGTGCTTGCATAAACAAAATAATTATACTATTTTAGGGTATTAATTGCATAAACAAATGAATGAAATGTGTTTAAGATCAAAGTTAGGTACTTAACAATCCCAAAAGAGCAGAAAACAATAAATATAAAATTCATAATCATTGCTCGTTCAACGTTTATCTGCTGATCAGTGAAGCTTCAAGGTTGCAGGAATCTGAAATCAGCTAAATACACTTAGCAGACATGATCGATTCCGTCATAAATACGTGTTTAGCTATTGGCATTCTGTTTAAACAATTTACTGTGAATCATTGTGGAATTAAAAGTGAAATTAAGCGCCGAAAAATGAAATACGCTGTTGATTTGATTAGGTGCGACTAAGAAGTTGCACGTCTATCTGGTTAAAGTTTACTATTAATTTAGTATTAATTCAATTACTTAGCATGACAATTAGGCAAGTTCGATCGCACCTAGAACAAGTTGTTAATTAACAAATGTCGTCGTTAAAGAGATTGGCTTGGCAAAAGGTCTGTTTACGCTCGAATCGCTAATAGTTTTGTGAATGCAACTCTTTAGTACCCAATTAGCCAAGTTCAATCGCACCCAAAACGAGTTTTTAATCTAGAAATTTTGTTGAAATGGAAACCAAAAGCTTATATTACGGTCAAGTTCTCGGACGATAAAAGTGTTACACAAAATCAAGTCAGCATGAATTTTTCTGTTATTGTTGTTGTTGCTGTTGGTGTTTTTTTTTCTGACCACCTTGCATGTTCTGACAGCCAACACATAAAGAAGTTGATCCGCAAGTTCTTGCCTTGTCATTTCACTTTTTATTTTTCATATCCCACAGCAAACCAATTAATGTCAACAGACACAAGAAATATCAGCAAAATGAATCGGATTTGTGCTCAGTGCATGAAGCGTGAATTTGAATGATGGAATTTTAATTTACCCATAGTTATTTTAATATATCATCAACAGCTAAATAATGAACTCTCCTTTTCTGAGCAACCTTGGATATTTAATACAGATCGCTGTTTTATATGCCTGTTTATTTCAGAATCGAGAAATTTAATCCAAGCCGTTGGCAATTATCAATTCAAGCTGTATAGTTAATCTCATCATAATGATTAAATAAGTGCTAGGCTATTTACGTCAGAAAGCCAATTAAAGGGTTGGTTTGCTTTTTAATGCGAAACAGGTTCAGTTGAACCCAAAGCTGTTGGAGAATTTCTGAAAGTCGCCTGTTGAGTTTTAATAAGTACAATTGATAATTACTATAATTGATCAATTTTAATTGAATGCCGAGAGCTTTTAGAAATCTAAAGATATTCTACAATGTAAATACATTATAATATTACATTATGGTAAACTTGATAATTTTGCTATAAAATGAGGGAAAAACAACAACTTGAAGCATGTTATATTTTGTTGACTTTACAAAGTACACAAGCCTAACATTCATTGTAATATCTATTAAATTCGCAGTTCATTCAATATTTCTCGTCTAATCTATGCACAAAGGCTTTATCTTAATCGAATTCATTCTGTTATTTATGACTCACAGCCACAGGCTTTCAGACTAATTAAAAATGTGCTAGGTGCAGCTAGACCCAGGGACATCATTTCACAGTCTAGCTAGGAATTTGCCGCAACAGGTGAGCCAGTTACGGAATCGCCATAAAAAAGCTCTAGGAAAAAAGAAAACACTCACAGAATTTCGTATTTGCCAATTATAATACAATTTTCAGAGTCGAGTATCGCAGCTACAGGTGGTTGGGCGGCGCCTTTTACTCAAATACATTTCGGATATAGAGTTTCTCATGCTAGCGGCGGGTTCTGAATGGTTTGCCATGATGTTTGGCCCAGTACGATAAGTACGGAGAAAGATAAGCGCCAGAGATGGGTGTGGGACGTTCTCACCCACACACTCACACACACACACACCCACACACACACACACACACACACACACACACACACACACACACACACACGGAGACAGAAAGTTACGCACTTTTCATTGCTTGTGTTTCTATTTTCTGTTTATGGATATAAATACGTATGTATGTATATACTCGTATATGTATCTATCAAATGTACACACACTACATCGGGTTTGTAGCCTTGTCGGACTCTATGCAAACCGGAGCGTATTGCATTACAAATTGTATTTTTCCACGCCCTCGACTTGAGGAGAGTATTTTGACGCTCAGTCAGACCCCGACTGCGACCCACTCTGTGCGCCCATTGTTGCTAGTGACAATGATGACAATGATGATGATGGGGTCCGTTGGGACAGACAGACAGGGTCTGGACTTTAAGGGCTATGATATCATCATCAAATGCGATTTGGCAACAATAATTGCACCACTAATAAAATGTAAATAAATGTATCGAAGGCAACTCATCATGCACGCATAATTAATTTGTGGCCAACAGAAAGGAAGGCATACATAGCGTATGCGTAATTTGGGCAATACAAATACACGTATACATATATGATATATGTCATATTGCATGCCAAAAATAAGAAGAAACATTTACTGAACTTTGATCTACAAAAGAATAATAAATTCTTGATATATGTATTTCTTATGGCGTGTTCTGTGCATCTGTATGCGTGTGTGTGTGTGCTCCATTTTCTAGATGATTTCATTACACAAAATAAAAGAAATAGAAGCCACTAGCTAATACAAAACATAAAAAGCAAACGGAGCAGTCAAATCGAAATCGAAACCAAAGCTACAAATAGTTCAATTAGGTTTAAATATTTTAACTGTGGAATTGTGTCAAATACGTTGAATAACTCACGAATTGTTTTACGCCTTGCTCTTGATATTCAATTCAATGAAAATGAATGAAAAACAACGCAACAAGTAACGTGAAAAGAAAGAAGAAGAAGAAGAAGAGGAGAAATACTCTTTTATATATCGAAGTGACTTCCTACATGCAGCTGGTTTTATTTAAAGAACACGAATCGTTGCAGAGTTTTGCATATTTTTTTAATACTTTCTTGTTTTCTTTACTTATTTATAAAGACGGAAACATATATAGCGGTAATTATTATATATGTGAAATGCGAAATTTATGCTTTCAAATCTGTAACACGCGCGACGAGCACTCTATTGAGAAAACATATACATATGTATAGTAATATATAAGCATATATGTATATATATCTGTGTGTTTTACTCAGTATCTCAAAAAAACACTTCCGAATCGCTCAAAATGCGGCGCGAGACTGAGACTGGGTCGACGTTCAGGCAGCCATTGGCGACGGCGTCGGAACGAAACGGAACTCGCGCAAATAGTTTCTGAAGCGTTGCGGGGTCTCTGATATCGTATGTATATATCTACTCTTTTTTTTTCTATTTATTTGGAGAGCGCTCGCCTAGGGTCTATCATTGTTTTCCTAATGTTTATTAATAAAAGAACTACAACAACACACGGCAAAAATTGAGCGTATAGTCGGAGAGCATCTCGCGAGAAATGTTCGCGAGTCTCTGTTTTTGTTTGGGGTGCTCAATGTGTCGCCGCTGCTCTCAAGTGATTTGTATAGAATTCTCCGTCCCTCAGAGTCTTGATGCTCAGCTGGCCACGGTGCACAATTGAGTCTGTCCAATAATGTGAATATGGCTTAGTTTAATTGACCGGTTGAACTTGTTAGCTATTTAACATTAAATAGCTAAATAGAAAGAGAAACCCGAGCATATGTTTAGTAATTCACTAATTATTAATCGTATTTCCCGGTAGGCTGGTTAAGATGGAAATTCAGTAAGAAATTCGGTTGATCTATGCTTTTTTTTTTTTTCCATTGCGCATGTGTTTTATTAGTCTAATCTAGTAATTTCGGGTGGCTAGCTTAATTTTTTTTTTGTATATTTTTTGCAGATAAGCTCTATAAAATAGCTATAGATAGTAGTACACGCTTCTCATTGATACACTTATGGCATTGAAAAAATTGTTTTAAATTGAATTCGTGTTTCATTTTTCTTCATATAGTACATTTATATTTGTATATTTATGTGTATAAGCTCAAAGCTAAAGCTTAATACTTAATCAAAAAATGAATTGGCAATAAAATGCGAAATACTTATATAAGAAGTAAATATATATAGAGATAACATTATATTCATTAAAGACGATTTTATTGAGGGCCAATTAAAAACTAGAATCAACGATGCTGCCGTCTATTAAAAATTAAATATATTA